GTTCCCACGCCTAGAGAAAGACACTTCTTGGGGGGGTAAACTGGCAGGGGACTTCTCAAGAGATTGGCATTCATCTCAAAAGGACAGAGAATGAAAAGTTTTCTTTCCTGAATGCTCTAAGAAAAGGGAGGGAAATGTTACATGGTAGTCCTGGTCGCGCTGTGCACCACTGGCCTGCCTGGGTTCAAACCCAAGCTCCACTAATTATTAGCTGGGGGGCCTAGGGCAAGTTTCTAAACCTCTCTGGGCCTAATGTTGCCAGCTTATAAAGCGCAGGTGATTAATACTTACCTCATAGGATGGTTGTGGAGATTAAATACATTAATCCAAGTATGGTACTGAAAACAGTGCCCAGCACATAATAAATGGATTACTCACTGTGGGTTTTTCAGCATTCTTTCTTTCATTGACTAAATTATACTTCCGTTTTGCCTATATATATGTGAATCAACATTACCATTGTGCTGGTCTCTATGTGTGGAGCAGTTCCTTTATGCCAGACACTGTACTTGACTTACATGATCAAGTTCAAGCCTCACAAGAGTGCTATGGGCAGGAACTATTACTATCTTCATTTCACAGTTAGGGAAACTGAGGCTTAAGAGAGGATTTCCCAGCACAGTTTCACCCAGAGTGACATTGCAGTGGTAGCCCAGGGAACAGAGCAGTGACAGAGCTGGGATTTAAACTGGCATCATCTCACACATGTCCTTGTGATGGGGGGGATCCTGTTCCTCTCCCAAAAAGGGGGCCGGGCGCGGTGAGTCTTAAGATTAGTCTATCTCCCATAATTCATAATATTAAGACATTATTATCTGGAAGTTCGCCAGAGTTATACTGGTAATTTGTTTCTTTGCTGTGGCTTTTTCAGTTTTCCTTCGCGGTTTTGCATGTTTTATTATTATCTCATGATGTGGTATCTGTTTTTCATTTTATTCTTGTCCGGTGCGCGTGGTCCGCCTGTCTCTGCACTCCCTGGGAGGAGCACGAGTGCGTGTGATTGCTACTGATCAGGGTTTGAACACCAGCCTCGATGCCGACCCGTATCTACATTAGCAAAAGTTATTGACCATCTATATAATACTCAGAAATTAAGCCGGGCATGGTGGCGCATGCCTGTAGTCCCAGCTATCTCGGAGGCTGAGGCAGGAGGATGCTTGCCAGGAGTTTGAGGTTGCTGTGAGCTAGGCTGAAGCCACAGCACTCACTCTAAGCCTGGGCAAGAAAGTGAGACTCTGTCTCAAAAAAAAAAAATTATCCTTTAACTTGTGCTTCAGCTCTGAGAGTTGGCATCCCCCAACCCCAGGCCTCAGCAGGACTCACTGGGGGTAAAACACCCAACCCCATAGCCCAGGCCAAGCGGTGCAAGAGAGAGAATCTTAAAGTCTATTCCCTGCTTTGGAACTTTGCCCAAAGAAGGGGGAAAAGCCCCATGCAATAGAGCCATGAAAGGAGGATTTCCAGTCTCAACGCCTCTCAAAACCCAGAAGTACTCTGACCTGCTCCAGGGAGGTGCAAAAACAGGCCGGTGACCAAGCTGTCAGTCTGACACTGTACACGCTGGTTACAGCAGCTTAGCAGCTCATGCTTGTCAAAACAAAGTGCACCAGGCAATGAGAAACAGGCCAGACAGACTTGAACTCAATCTGCTGAAACAAGCATGTCAGGGTTTTCAGGAGCTAAAGTGAAATGGACATTGTAGATATCTGTGTTTGTTCATTGCTTTACCGAAAGGAAAGGGAACTTTCTTGTACCTTCCTGACAGGAGTACTTTTACAACTCAGAGCAAGACACCTACCCAGGTTAGGTTCTCACCTGCCAGGGGAAACTGTGCTATCTCCTTTGCTGTTTATTTTTCTTTTCTTTTTTTTTTTTTTGGAACAGAATCTTACTTTGTCACCCAGGCTAGAGTGCTGTGGTATCAGCCTAGCTCACAGCAACCTCAACTCCTGGCTCAAGCATCCTCCTGCCTCAGCCTCCCGAGTAGCTGGGACTACAGGCTGAGCCACCATGCCGCCTCTTTTTTCTATATATTTTAGTTGACCAATTAATTCTTTCTTTTTTAGTAGAAATGGATCTCGCTCTTGCTCAGAGCCTGGTCTTGAACTCCTAACCTTGATCGGCCTTCCAGAATGCTAGGATTACAGGCTGAGCCATGGAGCCAGGCCCTCCTTTGCTGTTTACATTTCAAAGAAATAGTTCCCACGCCTAGAGAAAGACACTTCTTGGGGGGTAAACTGGCAGGGGACTTCTCAAGAGATTGGCATTCATCCTCAAAAGGACAGAATGAAAGTTTCTTTCCTGAATGCTCTAAGAAAAGGGAGGGAAATGTTACATGGTAGTCCTGGTCGCGCTGTGCACCACTGGCCTGCCTGGGTTCAAACCCAAGCTCCACTAATTATTAGCTGGGGGGCCTAGGGCAAGTTTCTAAACCTCTCTGGGCCTAATGTTGCCAGCTTGAAAGCGCAGGTGATTAATACTTACCTCATAGGATGGTTGTGGAGATTAAATACATTAATCCAAGTATGGTACTGAAAACAGTGCCCAGCACATAATAAATGGATTACTCACTGTGGGTTAATTACTTCGCTGCTCTGAGCCTCAGTTTCCCCAATCACCCCATCTGAGGATTTATGTGAAAAATTAAACAAGATGGCCGGGCGTGGTGGCTCACGCCTGTAATCCTAGCACTCTGGGAGGCCGAGGCGGGCGGATTGCTCGAGGTCAGGAGTTCGAAACCAGCCTGAGCAAGAGCAAGACCCGTCTCTACTATAATACGAAAGAAATTAATTGGCCAACTATATATATATATAGGATTAGCCGGGCGTGGTGGCGCATGCCTGTAGTCCAGCTACTCAGGAGGCCTGAGGCAGAAGGATTGCTTGACCAGGAGTCTGAGGTTGCTGTGAGCTAGGCTGACCCACGGCACTCACTCTAGCCTGGGCAACAAAGTGAAACTCTGTCTCAAAAAAAAAAAAAAAAAGAAT